TCCCTCTCAATTAGGACTCTCCTGACTAGAGTCCTAACAAAATGTCCCTCTCAATCAGGACTCTCCTAGCTAGAGTCCTAACAGAATGTCCCTCTCAATTAGGACTCTCCTAGCTAAAGTCCTAACAGTTTTACATGAATGTCCCTCTCAATTAGGACTCTCCTAGCTAGAGTCCTAACAGTATCATATGATGTGTCACACATATATATATTTAATATATATCTATATCGTATGCAAATATATATACATATCTCGTAGGTGTATAAGCAATTACACATCACAAGAACAATCATACTAGATGATTATGAACCATAGCCTAATGTGATCAGGCCCAAGCTATAGGTCAAGTAAGAGATTGCTAGTCATATGTGCCCTGCAAGCCAATCACGTGAGTGATGACACGTATGATATGATACGTAGTCTTTTTGCTTATTATGATTATTATGGTATTTTTTTCACTTTATATTTCTTATTGCATAAATATATTATGATTTTCATGGATTTGTGCAATGGGAATCGAATCGCGATGAGATTACGATAATGAGATTGATTCACTTCTAAACACAGATTCTAAATAATCCTTGTCATAAGTTATTCGAGAGGGACATCAAGATAAATGGACAGACTGGTGTACTATATACTGGTCCATATGATGGAGGTAGTTAGTCTCATAGTTGCTTATATGGGGACACTAGGGCTATAGTGTAGATGCTCATTAGAGAATGAGTTCACTGATTGATCCACTCATGAAATGCTAGATGGTTGATGATACCTTATTGTCAAACAGCGATTTCATAATCCTAATGGTGTACCTGGTCCTTAGACTTGAGACACTAAGGATGTCATGTATGAGTACTCAACTCTTTGATACCAGACTTATAGGTTGGAAGTTTTAGATCTAGTACAATCGATCATTGGGAGTGGTAGCCAACCTTACGAGGGCTATTAAGTGTCAATAAAGGATCATCCGCTCTCGATATCATGAGAGAAATATCTTATGTGTTCTTGCTTAGTCAAATCCTTGACCAAGGTCATTCAGATTGAGAGAGAGAGTTCTTTAGGAGAATCTGATTAAAACAAGACTCAATGAGAAACTATATGGGCTTGATAGCACTATGCCCAATATACGATCTCTAGGATATTAGATGGATGAGGGACTATAAGTACACGATAATTGAGGATAGATAGGTCTAAAAAATTGGATTCCCCTATATCGTTTGGGGACTACAGTGTAGTGGCCTAGTACGTTCGCAATCGATGAGTCAAATGAATTATTATGGAGATAATAATTCACTGAGCCAGAAGGAGTTCTGATACATATGACTTACTACCAGCTTGATATTGGGCCTAGAGGGTCACACACATATAGTAGGGGTTATAATGAGTAGAGATTTGAATATGAGATATCCGTTAGAGCCCCTATCTTATTGGATATCCATTAAGCCCCTGAATTATTGGATCATATAGATAAGATCCAATAAGAGCTAATAAGATATTATTGGGTAGAGACCCACTAATCTAAGAGGCGTGGATAATTGGAAAGAGATCCAATACCCAATATGGAAGGATCTATTATGGTTAAGTTGACAAGGGACTTCTGTAAATATAAGAGAACCAAAGGGCTATAGGCTAGGCTTCTTGGTTGTCACCTCCTATTCCTCTCTCATTCTCCTCCTCAACCAATAGGTGTGGAGATTTGGATAGTGATTTGAGGAGCGTCTTCGCAGCTCTTGTCGTGTGGATCACCACTAAAGAGGAGGACGTTTGACCTCCTTCATCCTCTCCCATAGATATGTAGAAATTCAAGAATATATGATCTCCCTATGTAACACAACTATCTCATACGTGATTTTTAGTTTCGTGAGGTTTTGTATACCAATCTTCCCATGATGATGAACATCTTTTGAAAAATTAAGGATTTTTATTTTATGTTCTTCTACTACACATGTGATGTTGCCCCTATATTTCCCTACACCTACTTCACTTTCATTATAATGCCAACATAAATCCTTTGTTGTTCATTCTTTGAGTTCCTCTTGGGTCAGTCTTCTACTATTAAAATTTCGAGTAAGAATGGTTGGAGTAGTTGACTTGCTAATCACATATATATTAACACTCCTGGTTTGATAATTTTTCATATTAATTTTTTCTTCATGCACTCATGCAAAAGAAATTACAACTCTCATAGTACAAGGTTGGTGAGCCTTAACTTTATAACAAATGTTTGGATTAAGATCTTATTAAATATTCTCACAAATTATCTTTTAGACTAATCTTTAGCCTGATTTGATGGTTGTTCAAATTGACTTTGATACTCTAACATAGAAGAAGTACGACAAATATTGGGAAGATATCCATTAATGTTCTCATGTTCAAATAGTCCAAAATGAATAAGAAAACTTTTTTTGAGCTACTCCTATAAGGAAACTTTATGATATATTTCATATCAATCATACCATTGAATAGCATCTTCGTCTAGTTGGATTGAAACTATTTCTACTTTTAGAATCTTTTGGAATTCTATGAAAGCAAAAAAATTTCTTTGCTCTAGAACTCTAACTAGTCATATCTCTATCTTCCCATCTAGAAAATTTTACTTTTATACAAGGGTAGCCATTATCATACTCTTGGTAACATCTTTCTATGACTTCAAATCAACCTAGTTGTTTAATTACATAAGCTAGATTTTCATCTTGTTGATTTTTGTTAAAACTCTCAAGTATACTATTTTTTAAATCATTGAGTTTCTTGCAGCCTGCTCTTAGTTTTTGCTTCCAAGGCTTTAAATTGGGCTTTGAATTATCAATATTCATTGCCTATAATTATAGATCTATAATTCCTAAGTTTTGTTTCTGATTTCGAGTTAAGAGCATGAGCACTACTTAGCATTGAAGTTGAAGTCGTTGTTAGTAGCATAGACATTAAGGCCTATGGCAATGTAGAGAGGAGATTAAAGGAATATCGATGACACACAATAAGAACTTTAGGAACGCCAAGGAAACACTGTCGAGGAAGCGTCTATGACATACTGCAAGAACTTTAGAAATATCGAAGAAATATCAAAGTAGCACTGAGGACATATGACTCTGATACCAAATGATAAAATCTTAAGGTTTTAACTAAGAAAGTAGATAGGGATTTGATCACTTCAAGGATATCAATCTTCAAATTGGCCAAAGGCTTTGAGTTGTATTTGATTACTTAACAAAAATAGTCAAAGATATTATATATATATATATATATATATATATATATATATATATATATATATATATATATATATATATATATATGGTTATTAATCCTTAGTTGATTATAATTTCTAACAAAAATAAAAATAAAAATAGCGATCCCTAATTTGCTATATCAAGGACTCCTAATATAATTAGAATAAACTTAAAAATTATTATCATAATTAAAAACTAATATCCAGTTCCTAAAAACAAACAGTTTCCTCGTACCGCCGCTTGATGCTTCCGACCACAACTGCGAAGACAATTGTCGAGATGGATGGAGAAGCGCTTGCAAGGAGTTCTCATTGACGAAACACAAACACAATAAAAGTACGCGTCCCAAATTACGGGCAGGCCCTAGCGCGGTGAAGCCTTTCCATTTTCACTTTTTTGGCCCCCACGCTTACGAGTCAAGTAAGAAGTACTCGTGAGATTTAAACGTGCGTAAGTAGTCCAGAAAACCAGGGGTTTTGATAGACTCACACCGACGTCCAACGACTCGACGATTTACTTGCCTTGTGTTGGACAAAGCTGGGCCCCTCATCCGACGACGAGTTACGTGAGACAGACCACGCACTCTGGCGCTCTAGAAATAGGACATGTCGGACGTATTAAGACCATCGTCTTAAATTCTTGTGCATGTATTAAGTCGAATGAGACGTCAACAAACACTGTTCGTAGAGATCCAGATATTTCACTCAGATCCTTTCTTGAGCAAGCAACTTGCACAAGTCAAATCCACATCTATTCTATCTCGTATTAATTGTTGATCCTGCAAAGCATGAAGAAGATGAAGATGCTGATGATGATACTGGCCCTGCAGCTCACTCCAACGCAGATGACAGTGACTCAACGCCACAATGTTCGTCCATGGCCACGCGGACACCATTCATCCACCTGTGGTGTTCGTCGATGCCTTTGCTCGTTTGGTCTGCTGCAGAGGATCTCATTTGTTCTGGTGCACAACAACAACAGAAGTAATTGCGTGACAGCGGCCTCACAGAGTCACCGGGGACCCCCAACCAAGAGCCCACAGTCCCAGGGAATTGTTCTTTCCCACCTCCTCCTCATCTGGCTCACAGGAGCCACACACAGCGATTCACAGGTCATCTTTCTTGAGGGATCTTGTTGTTCTGTAATCTGGAGTCTTCTCCAGTCCTCCGATCCAGCAGTAGCCACAGCTCAGTGCCCCATTCGATGCCTCTGATTGCAACGCAGCCCTTGGCAGGAGGCTTCTGCTGTTCCCTGGGCCAACAAAGATCCAATCTTTACTAAGGTTAGTGAGAGACTAGTAGTAGGCTGTTCACTTGGACCTTAGAATTCCTTTCTCTTGATTCACCACAGGATCTGAGAGGGCAGTGGGAGTCCATCGCTGTCCCATCAATAGCCTTCGAGCATTGTCACCAGAATCCTGCCTATTCTAATTTCTGCGAAGAGGACTATGTGATGGAATGAAGAGGGTATTTTGGTCCTTTTAAGCGGTCCGGCAGGACCTATATAAACGCCACGAGAGGGGAGCAGAAGAAGAGGAAGACGGGCAGCTCCGCTGTGGTTGCGACGACAGCAGATGAGGCTCGCCAGCTTCCTCCAGTGCGGTTGCGGGGCGCCGCGGCCCGAGGAGAAGCCGCAGGCGGCCCGGACGGGGACTGATCCCCGTGACCGTGGCCGCCGTCGACGCAGCCGGGGGAACGACGCCTCGACGCCCTGGAGGCCGTCGCTCGCGGCGATCTCCGAGAACGGCGCGCCGACGAGGGCGGCGGCGGGTGCCCGAGATGGAAAGATGACCGCTGACGGGGCAGAGAAGCACAAAGCCGTCGTCTCTCGTCGGGTCCTTCCTCGCGATCACAGTGACCACGACCGGTAACCCCTCCCACCCTCGAAGTCTTCTTGTATTGATTTCTAGGCTTACATCGATCAGAAATCGCACGAATGATCATCACAGCTTTGGTTTGTTTGATTGATTCGAGGAACCTCCAAGCAAACAGTTGAAATGGCAACTGTTGTTGACCTTGTCTGCTTCTGTAGGATTCTCGCTTTGACATGTTTGTAGAAATGACAACTGTTGTTGGTCCTGTCTGCCTCTGTAGGATTCTCTCTTTGATATCACTGTATAGTCCCGCGGTCAGATTGGCTGTTATTAGTTACTATGCTCCAATACAACAGATTCATCTAAAAACTATGGGTTATGACAATTGCAGTGGCATTCCTCTGTACAAGGTATTGTTATTGAGAAATTTGGATTAATTTATATGATTATTGTGTAAGCTCAAATACATTTAATTCGGAATCTGGCACAGTATTTGTTCCTCTCTGCATTGAGTTGATTGGTAAATCACAGACTTGTTTCTGGATGTTATTTGTGAATAGATTGAGGAGTTCTTATTGTTTTCTAGTTTTCCAAAAATTTCTTCAGAATTGTCATTTTAGTTCTTGAACTCATCATGTATGCATATTAATCTCCAATCTCTTAAGCCATATAAATCTAAGTCAACTCTGTATGGTAAAGCTACAGAGATTACATCCAAAGTTACAGTTTTGTAAGACTAGAAGATGTTTGTCTAATTCTATGCTTTCTTTCTTATTCTTATCATTTTCTCCTGCCATAATCATCCGATAGTTCCCTATTCTCCTTCCATCTTTCTTGTTAGAGATTTAGTGGTTCACCAGCCACACTTCCAGAATCTTAAAAGACATACCTCTCTAAACCTTGAAATACACACCTTTATGCTTGAAACTTGAAATAGAATGGGAGAGAATAAAGCCTTTATGCTAATGGAGGGATCCTAGGAACTTTGGGATTGCAATTTGGGAATCATGAGAAAAGAGTAAAGGTCATAGACTAATTCATTTAGCTTTTGAGGAAGTGAAATTTTTGGGAGGAACAAGATGGATCACATCACCTAAAAAGCATCATCTCATTCGAAGATTATACTTTTAGTCAGTGGTCAAATTATAATTCTGAAGTTAAATATGATTGAAAATTCTATGATTTTGGCTTCAAAGTTTTAATATGCAAGTGCCTGTTCGCCCACCCGCTAGCATCTTTTGCCAAAAGGACCAAAGTTAACTGGTTTTGGACCGGGGATTAGCATCTTGAACTTAGTTCATTTTTGTGATCTGATGAGCACGCAGAAGCCCGTAACAGGTTTTTGAAGTAAATAGTAAAGAACATGAGAAATTTCATTTAATTTCCAACTAGTGCTTGTTGATGCTGTACAGAGGAAATATTTGAAGTGGAAGTAAGCTTTTTTCTTAATCTCCTTTTGATGCATCCTCATGGCACTTTTTTCTATTTTCAGGTATTCAGATGTTTCTTCAGTTGTGCCGGCATTTAGTCCCACTGCCTTTTTGTTCTAGTGCCTAATTCAGTGTTCATCTGCGATGAAAAAGAAGAAGAGAAGAGTGAAGGATGACCGGAAGATGAAGAATGCTTTGTGCAAGATTTAGTGATTTTGTGCCATTTACTCAGCAGTCACTTCTTCCTATTCATCCTTCCTTTTCTGTATATTTTCCCTTTACAAATCCTTGTGTATACAAAAGCTAGAATGAAATATGTAAATATCAGAACATGACAATTCAGATCAGTATCTCATGTTGTCTGAAAGTTATGTAATTCTTGACTTCTGCAGGAGTGCAGTTCAGAAGAAGCTTCAAACTGAGCCACACTGTAACTATAGCTTGAACTTCTGCATCTCTCTTGTTAGAAGGACAATTTAAAGTTTCTTTCTTGCCCTCCTGTTTATTGAAACATTGACTAATTTTTGTGTTTGTGTTGTTGATAATTGATAAACTATATTAGTTTGATATAAAATCCAAGTAGAATGATGTTACTAAATTTACTCTCATCAATAACTATGATCCCAAACTATTATTTATAAATTTATTGCATACTGTAACAAGATATTTGAGAATGTCTGTTTTTGTATAGTTTTCATTGCATTGCAGTATGTTGATGAAACTGCCTTCTCATTTTCATGAAAAAAAATGAATCATTTATCTAAATATGATAAAGGAATATGTAAGCCAATAGGTAATGGATTAATTTCACATGTGTAGTTAAGAGTTACTGATGGTGGGTTACAAACCATTAAAATGTTTAACTGAGAAAAATTAGAAATTGAAATATATTATTAAGGGATATAATATTAAAAGATGTAAATAGTGAGATATCTGTAAATACACTAACACAAATGATCCATACATATAATACAAATAGCGCTTACATTTTCAAGATGAACATGAAATTTGAAAAAGAGTGATATGAAAATTCACATAATTTTTTCTTTCTGTTTCTTAGGACAATTATTTTACTGTCTTCTCATGCCAACACCTTCTTCTATGCCCATTACTAATTCTTATGCAAAATGAATTAAAATAATCATTCGTTTAAGCTCACTATATATGAAGATTAAGACTTCAAAATGGCTGATATCACCATCTTTCTAGTGCACTAAATGATGTACCCACAGCATAAGGGTCTCGCCAATGTGAGATATAGGAAGAGTCAATATACGCTGCTTTTAGGAGGATCTGGAGAGAGTCAATATACATAGTATTACTTTTAAATATATGCTACTTTACCTTTAAATTTACATAGTTTTATCTCGAAATATACGGTAATATGAAGTTTAAGAAAAGTCAATATACATAGTCTTATTTCTAAATATAAAAATATTATTTTTTTAACTCGAATCCTGATCTCCAAGATCATAAGTGAATAATTTGACCGTTTATATTAAGAAATAATATTTTAATGTATAAACATAAAAAAAATATACATATGATGACAACAAAAATGAAAGATGTTACATTATTAGGTTTATTTTAGCTTTAATAATCATGATGTTCTCAAATAGGTCATAAGAAGATAAAATCATCATTAATATTAAGTATGATACAAGACATATGCAAATTTATACTAAGATATTTTCCAGAAAAAATAGAAGCCTATTATAAGACTTCATAACCTACAAATAGGTGTATATGACGAAAAAAAAAAAACCCTAAAGTGTTATCTCCATCTCCAACTTATGATTTAAATATTTTCGAAACTCCAAAGCTACCATAATCAAAATAGCAATAAGACATGTTAGTCATTTGACCTACTCCTACCGCTCAAACAAGTAGCAATGTATTTAACAATTGAGATAAAAGAACAGAGATCTATGGACCCCATTCTTGTCAACTTTTTTTTTTGGGGCAAAATTGCACGTGTATCCCTTCAAAGTCAATGGTTTATATATTT